GTGTGTGTGTGTGTGTGTGTGTACCGGAGTGTGTCTGCCTCCTCCCTGGAGAACAGGAAGCTCTGCTCAGCGGGGTCGGCCTGGGATCTCAGCATGGTTCTCTTCCCTGGTCTGTGTGTCTGTGTGGCTTAGTGTGTGTGTGGCCATGTGTGTGTGGGTGTGTGTGTGTGTGTGTGTGTGTGTGTACCGGAGTGTGTCTGCCTCCTCCCTGGAGAACAGGAAGCTCTGCTCAGCGGGGTCGGCCTGGGATCTCAGCATCTTCAGTTCCAGCTCCAGCTGCAAGACAGGGTGAAGGTCAGCTCCATGTGCAGAGTCCCTGGACCCAGGAGGGGGGGAGCTGCTGGCCTGCAGGGGGAGCTGGGAGGGGCCCAGATGCAACCAGTCTGGTCTCAGGCCAGCTGTCAGGGTGGTGGGCACAGGAGCACCTGGGGAACACACTGCCTGACCATCACTCTCACCGGCTCCCTGCCCACCCACCATGTCTGATCGCCTTACTCCTTCGGCTCCCTTTCTGGAACGTTCTGGGAGGTAGATCTGAAAAAGGACGGAAGCCCTCTGCTCGATGCACCTGGGGTGTCTTTGGGGGCAGCAGGTCATGGGGAGGTGATGGAAGCCATGTGGCCCCCAGGCGTAGGCACAGGGTGGGACACAGACCCTTGCTGACCCTGCGGTCCAGGGCCGGCCGCCACCTGGGGGAGGTACAGTGCGCAGTTTCTTTCCAGCGACGAGCACTGGGTCTGCTCTCAAGCTCTGCCATTTCCAGGCCCCCCTTCACTCTGCCTGGGTCTGCACAGGCCCCCCTCCCTCCACCACACCTGCCTGCCTGCTGCCGCCGAGTCCCCTTTGCAGCCTTCTGGACCGGCTGCTTGATCCACGTGAGCCATTCTTCCCAGCTCCGTGGCATCGATATTTAAACCTGGGGCTGGCTTCTGAGCAGGGACTTGACATGTCCCAGAGACGTGGCTTCATGGCCACCATCCCTCACCGTGGTACGCAGCTGTACATTGAATCTCCCCTCGGAGTGGGCATGCTGAAGGCAGGACTGCTTGTGGCTGGCTGTGTGCTCAACTGACCCTGTCTCTGGCCCCCTCCCTGCCCGCTTGCTCTGAACTTCAGGTTTTATCACGTGGAGATCAGAGGGCCCGACAGAGAGCGATGGGCGATGGTCCTGCGCACCACCCAGCACTGATGGCGTGTTCACGTCGACTCCGTGAACTGGCTTACGCCTCCTGACGTCAGTGTCCCTGGAGATGATGGGTCTCAGACCCCAGGCCCAGGCTCGCAGGCGCAGGTCTCAAGCTGCACTGAAACCTGGCGCTGTGGGGACCCTGCTGGTGCTAAGACGCCAATGGGGGCGTCACCCCCGCATCACAGCCACGGGCTCCGCCCCAGGAGTGCAAGTCGTTTCTTGAGGCAGACTCCGCCACCGCTCTGTTGTTGGGCACCACTGCTCAGTGACCCATCTGTCCTTCCTGCGCCTTCGTTACAGAGCTGGGCGCACGTTCTGGCTGCACGCTGCCTCTGGAACGGTGTCCTTCACTCTCCAGCCATTAGCGACGAGGAAATTGACTTCCATCTGCTTCTCACACCTCAACTATGTGAACAAGCCCCATCGGCAAGACAGGACATGTCCACCCGTCGGCAAGATGCCGCCCGCCCTCTGCCTGCTGCCGCTCCTCCTCTCCTGCCCCGGGAGCTGATGCCCGGGCCCCCCTCACCCCCTCTGGGAGCTCCCTGGACACCCGGCCAGAGGCTCAGAGGTACTTCCCATCTGCTTGGCCCTGAGGGAGCTCTGTGCGCAACCCCCGCCCCCGCCCCTGCTCCTCTGCGCATCGCTGAGAGGGCTTGGGAGTCCTCGTGGCCGGGTGCCGGAGGCGCTCATGGGGCCTTGCAGGGGTGTGGGTGGTTCCGGGAGAGGCTGGATTCGACGCTGCCTGGGACACACACAGCCCTGCTGTGGAGACATGGCTTCTTCGGGCAACTGCCCAGGGGGGCCACTCTCACCCTGGCCCCTCGCCCCAGGCCCTCAGCAGCTCCCCACATCAACCCCAGTCTTCGCCCGAAATGGTTTCCCCTGCAGCCCGAGCTTCTGGGTTTCCGGGATGGGTTTGCCTGTGATTCTGGGGCATTTCCAGGAAAGGAGAACGCTGACTCAGCACACGAGTCCAGCTCCTCCCTTCCGACCCTGACCCCCAAAGACACAACAAACAAATCACCCCAGCGCCCTGCCTAGGAATGTCTGTCTCCTTGGGAGGGGGGGGGGGCTGGTCCTCCCTTGCAACCTGCATTCCCAGCCCAGGAACAAGGCCAGAGGGACTTGGCCACCACAGTCTCTGCATGTCCTGTGCCCCCGCTCCCTCTTCAGGCACTCCAACTTCCCAGGTCAGGCCTGGACACAGGGACTCAGTGGGCAGCCTCGCAGCTCAGCCTGCCCACGTTCTGGAGCCAGGTAGCCACCATCAGCTCCTACGGCCTCCGGGCGCATCGTGGTGTGGAGGGGCTAGTGTTGGCAGCTGCACTCTTGCGATGCCTATGCCCCCCGCCTGCCCCCCCGCCCCCGAGTCAAGATGCTCAGCCTGGCACAGGGTGTGCAGTAGGTGCTTAATACACACTTGCCCCCAAGTGCGCACTGTCACCGCCCCCATCCAGTTGGCACTGGGGGTGCCTCACCGCACCCTCCCCTCAGCATCCCCGCTCCCAGTCAGCCAGCATCCACTCCACCTGGGAGAACATGGGAGAGGCGTCAGGCCGCCGCTCCAGCCCCTGGGCAGCAGTCAACAGTCTGGCTCAAGGGAGGGGGCCTATCTGAGGGGCCACGCTCAGTGGCCACAGCCCCAAGTGGGGGTGCTCGAGGACAAGCGTCCGACCGCAGGGCTTCAGTTTCCCAGGGTCTCGTGCACCCCAAGGAGCCTTCACATCCAGCCAGTGCCTCGTCCCATCCCCACATTAGCCTCCCGAGCGCGCCACTCAGCCACTTCCAGTGTCAGGGGGGCTGTCTTCTGCCGACACCGCCCAGTCTGGTGCAGCTGGAGCTCCCAGCTGCTTGGGAGCTCCCCTCTGTGCCCAGCCAGGCCTGGTGGTTAACAAACGGCGCTGGGTGCCTCGAGGCAGACCTGGGCATGCGCCCAGGGTCTTCAGTGCCATGTGTTTGGGAACCAGACTGCCGGCTTCTCTGCCTAGGAACCTCTAGGCAGACTCAGACCTCTGACCTTTCAGTTACAGGCCAAGCACATGGACAGTCTGTGATGGTCAACCACCAACCAGGCAGGCCCACCGGGCATGACAGGGCAGAACTGTCCCCAGGACACCGGAGGCTGTGGCTTCCGGGTGTGGGCTGCCTCATCTTTCCCTCACCATCAGGATTCTTCCAACAGAAAGAGCCTTCCGGGAGACAGGAGGGAGGTGAGAGGCCAGAGTGAGCTGGGGGGG